AAAACAAACTCTGCTGTCATTGGAATAGGACAGTTTTAATATAAGAAATTAGAAGTTGGCGGGTTTCTTAGAAGCCTTTTAGTTCCAGACTGCACTTCATCTTTTTGCCTGGATTTTCCCTCAGAGCCTGAACTCCTTGCTCCTGCTCGTTTCTCAAAGCTGGCGTCTGAAATTTGTAGTTTTGTTCCATTTTAGCTCAAAAAAGGGAAATAAATTAAAGGGGTTTTGGTAGGAAGTGGGTGTCAGTCCAGTCAGCTCGCTGCAGCTCCCTGCAGGTCCTGATAATGAAATACCTGTCAGGCTGCGCCATGCAGGCCCCGGCACAGAACAACGACCCCACATGTATGACTCACTGTTTTTCAGCAGGACAATGTATGGGACCCAGAACAATGGCTTCCCTGTCCATCACTCCACTGGAGAGGAAGAAAAAAAAATCCTTCACAGATGGATTTATTGTCAAATGATTGTGGCACCATCAAGGAGTTTTATTTTTTTCAAAAGAAAAAGGCCTCATTTTATTTCAAGCATATAATTAATAGATTTTATGGGGCCCTTGCTGCGCTCCTGTAAAGACTTGTCACATTATATGAATCCACACCTGCAGTTAGCAGACTTTAGCTCTTTGGCCTCAGCTCCCACTTTGAACACAAATCAAAGAAGACAGCTGCGCCCGTTCAAAGATTTAAAAAAAGAAAAAAACAAGAGTCAGATCATAATCCCATATACCCATGGGCGCCACCAGTCATTTTGAAACCCATAATGATAAAAAAAAAATCAAAGTTTTATTAGGGTTATGACAGCTCAGGTTATTGTTTCAGGTTAGGGTTAGGGTTAGGGTTAGGCTCCTCGTTGGTAAAACTAATCCTAAATATAACAATAATAATATGAAAAATAATAATAGTAATAATAACAACAAGAATAATCCTGTAACAGTGTGGAAGCTCCTGTTTTTAATTCACATTGTTCTATTGGGTCAACACCTTTACTGCAAAAACAACGTTTGATACAAAGTGCAGGAAGTTTTACACAACATCCCTCTCTTGTTCTAGGGGGGGTGTTTTTGTTCATATTAAAATCATTCAAAAATCACTGCTGTCATTTAAAGTTGCTAAAAAGAAAGCTTCGTTTGCATATTCAGACAAAGGGTTGAGGAAAAACAAAACATGGCTTTGGTGTAAAGAAGAGGGAATTTATTCGTTCAATTTAAACGTCCTCTCCATGTTAACAGGTTGTGCAAAAGTATCTGATGAAACATCAAGAAGTTCCTTCTAAAGGGAAATAATTTGAAAGTTATTTATTTATTTGTTCATCCCTTCTTGAGAATGAAGTCAAGAATAGCTCTAAATCCAATCATTTCCCCCAAAACACAACAATCGATTTATGTATTTTTAAGAGGCACTACAGATTTGTATTACAGTGCATTAGCAGAAGAGTTGTTTGAAACTTTATATAGAAATATCAGCAGATTATACAGTGTAATAAACCATCACAATAGACAAAGAGTATATTTCCACCCAAAAAAAAATACGTTTGAGATTAATCTAATATAAATTCTAGAAAAATCAAGAAAGCTTTTAGGCTACAAAAGTTAAAAAAAATTCTACTTCTGAAACTCAGAAAATTTCCAAAAGGCAAAAATATTTTGACTTCACAAATACAGAAAATTTCACTATTTTTTCTTCACAATTTCTGAGTTTTTTGATGGAATTTTCCTCTTTTTTTTCTACAGCGGTCCTAAGATGTACAAGACAGCCTGGCAAATTATTTCTGTTTTTAAACCTTTTATTTGCTCTACTGGCCTTTAATTTGGTAGTTAATTGACAGGAAAGTGGGCAGTGAGAGACGGGGAAGACATGCGGCAGGCAGAGGTCACCAGGCCGGGAATCAAACCTGCGACCACCTGCATCACCACAGCACATCCCCATATTTCTATTCTTTTACTACGTAAAAAAAATATATATAATTATTATGTGAAACCACACAATGAACTAAATTTGTATTTAAAATGACACTTTGTGTTTAAGCGAAAACGAGAACTGCAAATCGCCATGAGCCTGAGGCTGTTATTCAAATTGTTTTGCACGACCATTTGATTCTGTTCTGGTCAAACTCAGCAGAGTGACATAATGTGCAGAAGCATTAAATTAAATAATAACCGCAGTGAGGAATAACAGGTAATTAACAAAAAGGCTAAATGAGTTTTAGAGTGCTTCGCTTTATGAGAGCACAAGGCTGCAGCGGCGAGGACTTGGTGAAACAGAACGGCTGTCATCAAGTGTTCAGACCTGTCTGTCTGTGTGTGTGTGTGTGTGTGCGTGTGTGTGTGTGCGTGTGCGTGTGTGTGTGCGTGTGTGTGTGCGTGTGCGTGTGCGTGCGTGTGTGTGTGTGTGATGTGAAGTGGCAGCTTGCCAATAAGCACTCTGCTCCTGCTGTGCTGCGGAATAGAGGTTCTGCATTAGTAGCTTTGATGGAAAGCTCTTTTCATCCACGATGAGATAAATAATAATCGTCGGAGAGCTTTGCTCCGAGCCTCGCCTTTAACAGAGCAGGATCACAAAGAGGCTCGGCTCAGATGAGGGACGGCGGAGACAAACACGAGGAACTGAATGTCACATGAAAGCAGTTGAGCCAATAGAGCTTCAAGGATGAGAGATGGAGAAAACTCTTCAGGGTCACCGAAGGAAAACTAACTGGAACTTTTTTCCCTCAGCGTTAAGAACAATTTACAGTGCAACACAATATAAATATTAGATCGGGAAAGTTTTTAAAGGGGCAGCGTTATTGTTTTGCGGGAACACAGTGCCATTTTATAGGACAATCAAGTTGTGTTCAGTTGTCATAAAAATGCTGTACATATCAAATATGACTTTGAATTGGACATTGTAATTTAACACCTTGAAATTGGGTCTCCGTCTCTTTAAGAAGCTCCCACTCTTTCTGAAACTCCGCATTCATGGCTCCTCTATTGACCCTTTTACGACGTTTTTTACCAGCGTTTCACTAAGGAGTAGCTCCTATAATGAGCTCAGCTGATGTTCCACCGAGTGTCTGCTAATTGCTGCTGGCTAGTCTGAAGGAGCTGAGTGAGGAAGGGCTGCTCTGTGAGGCAGATGCTTGGAAACGGCAGCTCATAGTATGAGCTGCACCTCAAGGTAGTATGACCTCATGCTAACAGGTAGCAGAAATTCCAATAAATATATTTTGATAATATTTTGCTCAACTTGATATTAGCTTGAGGAACACAGAATCACAAGTCCTGATCCTGGCAACTCTGAACCGATTTGAAAATGCGTTTATTTTACGTTTTTGTTGCTGCCATTTGCAACTCTTCCGCTTATGACGTTATGCATCAACTCGATTTAAAAATACATTGATTTCTTTTTTATTATTATTTACAGAAAAGCCAGGCAGCCAAGCTAACCTAACGCTGATTATTTAAATATCAGAATTTTATGCGCAAACTGATTTTTATTTAAATCACAAACTGGTCGAGTTTGATACAGAAATGCTTGAAACAAATATTCTATTTGTTTGCACTTTCATTTCCTCGGCACTCACATCATTTAAAGAGCATCTCTAGAATAGAAAAATGGTTTCCGGATGAAAAATCTTAACAGGACAGGAATAGTTCTGAGTATCTGAGTTGGACCCGACAGGAACAAAAAAACAAGATTATGATACTTATTAAAGGAAACACTGATTTCTGGATCATGTTTAATGGAACACAAGCAGTAATTAGAAATCTCATCTTTTGCCAGCCTGTCATCATGGTGTCACTCTGACGACCGTCAGCGCCGACAGGACTCACATGATCCAAACTGACTCATGTCATCACTTCAGTCCAACTATTATTCATGTTTGTGTCAAAAACATCCTGCTGTATTTGATTTAGCTTGGAGAAAGAGACCGTTTTCTCTTCCTCTTTCACTAACCGACATTCATCACTTCCTCTTTTCTCCTTTAAGTCCTATTTTCTTTCCTCTGGTTGTTTTCATTAGAGCCTCAAGTACAGCAGCATTAGGGCCACAGCAGACAGAAAAACAGAGGAATTTGTGAGAAAAACAAAAAACCCTGAAATTTTGAGAACAAGTTCGGAAATGTTCCAGAAAAAACTTGTTCATTTTTGAGTTTGAAAGTCTAGAAAATTTGCTACACAAAATTTAATAAAATTTGAGATTAAGCTAAGCAGATTTCTAGAAAATAAAATTAGTTTCTGAGTTTCAAAATCAAGGGAGCTTTAAAAGTCGAAGATTTTGAAACTCAGAAATCTTTGACTGACTGACCTGTGTTTTCTTCAAGCAAAATTTCAATTTCTCTTTTTTCCTAGAAAATTTGAGATGAATCTAAAAATTTCAGTTCTTTGGCAAGTAACCGTTTCTTTCTACAATGGCTGTCAGAGTCGGATTCAGTCCAACTGACCCAACAATGTGAGCGGTCGCGCTCTTAGTGACTGCACAATAGGTAACCTGCTGAAGCGAAGCGTTAATATGTCAAACAAGCAAACAGAAAATAAAGACCAGGCCTCACAGTGACCCGAGAAATAGATCAGAACAGCGTTTCATTTATCATTTCTTTTTTCAGACTCATTATTTTCTCCAGATTTTTAAACCTTCTTTGGGTGAAGACCCACAGAGGACCCTGAATGCACCGCGGGGCCCCTCTAATGAGGCTCTGTGCTTTTGTGCAGCTGCAGGGACCTGAATCAGATCACTGTAGTCCAAATCAACAACAGATCAGGCTTCAGCCATGTTGAAACAACACAGTGGTTCAAATATAGTCACATGCAATATGTACTCACAAAACGCATCATTATAGCAGATTCTAGACGATCAATATGCTGGGCTGGCAATGCAATCTTAATGGTAGTGTTGACACATGGCAGTCTCAACAATATTATTGTTAAATGATCAAATACAGCACAATAAATGACAGAATACGAAATGACCTCAATTATTGTTGAGTATGCATATTTTTCCTGGCTAAAAATGTCAAAAATATTGCTTCTCAAGGTTTCTGAGGAGTCAAATGTTGAGGCTCCTCCCTGTGAAGAGTCTGTAGAAAAGGCTGCCAAAAACATCCCTCCAGAAAATGACAAATTAAACACTGCTATTGTTTCAATTTAGGGTCCCATCTCTCCTTCAGTGCACTACATCGTAAAACTGGATGTACTGTGTGTGTGTGTGTGGCAACTTTACACCCCAGAGTCACCACCATGAGAAAAACGAGAAAAACTGCAGATGTAAATAAAGAGGGTCTTTTTTTTTTTTTTCTTTGTTTATTGACGCATAAAACATCCTTCAAACAATAAACCCATTTCAAGGTAAGGTCTCTGTACAACGCTTCCTAAGCTGTTTTATTTATATAGAAAACATACGGGGGGCCAGGCTTAGAAATCACAGGGCTCCCTTCAGATTTAATGGCAGGTACTCTAGAGAAAAATTACAGCATTCCATCAACAAATATTTTCAAGCAATAAATATGAATTTATAAATAGTGTAAATTTACATCCAAAGAAAAAAAAAGAAAAAAAAAAATAAAAGTTCACTCTAGTTTGTGTGCAACCCTTTTTTCCTGTGACTTGGCTGGTTGTAAATCAGATTCTCTTCCTCCATGTTAAAGTCAAGCAGTCTACGTATCGACGGTGAGTAGAAGAGCAGAAACAGAACGTGTCACATTTCACATTACATGTATGTTGGTTTTCCTGACCGAGGTGTCTGACGTAGTAAAAGGCTAACACACACACGCACGCACGCACGCATACACACACACAGCTCTGGTGTCAGCCCACAACAGAATAAAAAATATAAAAAACAATAGTAAAAAAACAAAAAACAATCAGATCAGTAGTCTCTGGTGACCAGGTTGATGATTTGAACAGAATATGTACAAAACTTTATGCTATTATTGTTATTTTCATTTGATGAGTTGTGGCGAAGTCCAGATGGGCCAAGCAGTAGAACAGTCTGGTCTTGACGACGGGAGGAGCTGCCGTCCCCCAACCCCCGTCCCTCCAGTCCACACGGGGGGAGGCACACCGCTAAGGGCAGGTTGCATAGACACACAGCTTTCACACAGCTGCCTTATGGGATAGCTACAGGACGCAGTCAGAGGAACTGCCGCCTTTCTTCCTGAATATCAGAAAAAGGAAAAAAAAAAAAGAAAAAAGAAAGGGAGAAGAAGGAAGAGAAGAAGGGAGGGAGGGGCAATTCTGAGAGTTTCCACTGAGGTCCATTATGGTTCTGTAATGTTCTCAAAAGAAGATGATGACTCCATCAAGAAGAGGAAGGCAGGGGGCTGGCCTGTGGAGAGGAAACAAAACGGTCAGTTTGGATCGAACCTGTTTGACCTGACAGAGGTCAGAGTTCATGCACCAGTTCAACGCACCAGGTTACAAAACTGGGGCTGTGGAACAACTTAACATTTTAATTTGATTAATCAGAGGGTTGCTGTGAAGTCGCCAAAACAATTAACAGAGTTCAAAATGTTTTCTTACTAGAACATCAATAAAATAAGGAACATCATTTCTCATGTCTGATTTTTTGTGTATTTTTCATTGTTTTTGTTATTGTTCAGAGCTGTATAGTGTTGCTTTAGCTGTGAATAGATGCATGTAAATTGAGGCTTTGCTAAGTTGTTTTGTCAACAACAGTAGAGTAATTTCAGGGCTTTTCCTGTGATCTCATTGCCACGGTAACCCTACAGAGCAGAGCAGTAGGAGGAGAAAGAGTGGAGATGTTAATTTTTAAAGGGCAGGATGTGTTCTCCAGCAACATTAAATCATTTTATAGCACAATCAAGTAACTGTTATCTTGAGTTCTTATAAAATTACACTCTGCTACTCTTTCTGAAACTCATCACAACATGAATCAAAAGAAGCTAACCATTTAACCTTTTTAAGAAGGAGCTCCTAGAATGAGTTCAGCAGATGCCCAGTTCCTTCAAGTGTTTGCTAATTGCTGCAGGCTAGTCTGAAGGAGCTGAGTGGAGACGTTTTGGGGGAGGAGCTTCGTCCTCACAGTCAGAGCCATGTCCACCCAGCAGAGTGGTTGCCAGGGGACATTAAAGGATTTCTTAAACATGCATGAAAGAATGAAAGCAACACTCCAGTTCTGTTTTTGATGAGGGAAAATCCTTACAACGTGATTTAAAGTTAGAAAAATTGTTGATTTTCCACAATACTGGCCCTTTAATAAATAGGAGGTTAGCCTGCAAGAGACAATCATGTTCAAACTTCAGCACACGAGACTGAAGTTTGTGTCAATTTTCTGTAAAATTGACAGAAATGCAGCGTTAACATTGACAGCTCCACGGTGGAGCAGGCTGCTCACCAGTGTGAATTGGTCATAAACCTGCATCAGGTCCTCGATCTTGTACTGCTCCAGAACCACGAAGCTGTCCAGGTCAGCGCTGGCCCGCCTGGCGCAGTCCTGGCACTGAACCACGTACGTCTTCCTGCTGTTGCTCTCGCTGCTCACAAACAGCAGGTCGAATACCTCCACCTGGTACGGGAGCGGAGGGGAGAGCAGAACTGGTAAAGCGCCCGCTCCCATCCTGACCCGCAGCAGAGACCCGTCTGCTTACTTCACAGATGCTGCAGTAGTGGGCCGGCTCGCTGTGGGTCCGGCCGTGCCACACCAGCTCCTTCCCCGCAGCCAGCAGCATCTCCCTCTGCATCTGAACTTGCTTCAGCGTCCGCAGCAGGCAGTACCTAACACACATACAGGGTTCAGCGTCAACTCCAACAAAGCAGCTGAGCGAAGCTAAGCTAACTCAGTCGGGCCTCACTTGATCATCTCGAAGAGCTTGTGGTCCGACACTTTGATGTTCCTCGCCATGTTCCAGGAGAGGTGGATCATGGGAACGATGGACTTGACGCTCTGCAGCTTGTTCCACTCGTAGCGCTCCACTGCCAGCTTGTACTGATGGGCTAAAGACAAAACGCAGGGCGGAAAAACTCAATGTGTGGCCCCTCAGGGAGAGGAGGCCCCTCAGGGAGAGGAGGAGGGGAGAGGGGTCTCCTCTCCCTCAGGCTTCTCCAGAGGACAAAAAGCTTCTGCACACCTCTGGAAAAATACACACTTTAGTTTTCAAGAGACTTTTTAAAGACCTCCCCCACAATGAAAAGAAGACCTATTTATAATACCTCCCACAATGAAATTTAAGACTGGAGAAACTAAGTATAGGGGGCGGTTGAGGGATTCTGCTTAGAATCAGGAGTGGCAAAAACCAAAACTTCTGGGATGCGTTTGTGAGGGTCAAACTTAAAGTCTGAATGCGCTTACTCCCATATGAGGCTTGGTGAATTCAGAAATTAACCAATGGCACAGACTGACATGATGCAGTCAAGTGGATGATGATCCTCTATCCACTGTAAGGGTGCATTCACACCAGCCCTGTTTAGTGCACTTCATTCGAACTCTAGTTTGTTTGCCTAGAAAGTCCGGTTCATTGGGGAGTTGGGAATGCGTAATCAGACATAAGAAGAAAACTCTTCAGTTTGGCCTAGGAAACAGATTGGTTAAATTGAAAATGCAGTTTGAAAGCAAACCGCACCAGCTGAAAACGTCAACAAATATTGTAAATTTGGCCTCCAATCAAACCGAGCCTACTGGACTATCCAGTGTGTAAACACCTTTAGCGTCCTTTCTGACCCACCTGTGAGGGGTCCCACGTTCCAGGCGATGTTGTTGCACCAGCCGATAGCCTGGACCCAGTGAACGGTGCCGGTGTTGAGCCACACCAGGTCCCCGGGCCTCTGGATGAAGCGGTACACTGGAACGTTGTTCTCGTACAGGTCCTCCAGGTTGGGCCACCAGGAACCCATCAAGAAGTTGATGTTGTTCCTGTCAGAAACCACACAATCAACCACCAGAACTCACTTTGGGCTCAATCAGAACAGTTTCAAAGTTGACGTACTTTTCACAGAAGTCATTGATGACGCCCCAGTAAGACTCAGGCACCGCAAACCATTCACAGTCGCCAGGACCAATGTTGATGTTGACCGAGCAGAAGTTGTTGTTCTCTTGGTGACCTGTGACAAACTGAGGTTACTAAAAGCTTCGGGAGGACAACCAAAGACTCGGGCCTCAGGCGTGCCCTGGTTCTACCTGGAGTCCGGCTCCCTGGCACCTTCATGTACAGCTGGACGGTGTTCATGCCCAGGATGGTGTGGCCCACGTGGCTCAGCAGGTTCCCGGCTGACACCACCCTGGCGAAGGCCGGCAGCTTGGTCAGCTCCTGCAGCTGCTGCTTCCACCTGCAACCAGCCCACTGTTAGACACAGGCTGCTGAGAGACCAAACCACAGCGAGAAGAGTTTGCTCACTTTTTGTCGTCAGAGAGGTCGATGTTGGTGCCAAACTTTATGTGCTTTAGAAGGCCTTTCCTTCGCCGGATCCCACTAGAGAACAATGGAACGGTGTCATTTCCACCAACAGGACAAAATACTGAACAGAGAACCTCAACTCAACTTGATTGGCCAGTTTCCGAATTATTACCACTCTGATACTAGACAGAGGTCAAGCAGCACACTTCAGTGTGGATGTTACTGAGTGAGGAAGTGTTTGCTATAATTCACAAACCCACAGGCAATGACAACATTGCCTGTGGGTTTGCAAAGAGGGCCCACGGCCAGAAGCTAATGCTGTCTGGGGAACAACAGCATGGAAAAGTTTGGGAACCCTCGGTTTAGATCATAATATGGTATATGCATGTTACTGCAGGTTCTGCAGTGACATGCTCAGTGTTCTCTACACGTCCACATCATGTGCATTTTTGTAAATATGATGTCACTCAGTTTCACATCCCTTGGATCGTGAATCTGATATTTCCATTTCTAATAGTAGCAGTATTGTCTGCTATAGTCTTATACAGTACATTATTATCATAGTTAATCTTGATTTCTATATATTGTTTTTAACACAAAGAACTTTTTATGTGAACCTTTTATATTTGTTATGCCTGAATTTCCCTTTTACAGAACAACAAAGGCTTTTTCTATTATTTTATCATATTCTATATTATTGTGTCTGTTACAGCTAAGGAAGACTTTCACTCTCAGAGTTTTATTTAATTTAGTTGTTTTTTACCTCCAAAGACTGGTTGCACCAGTGCCCTAGGAGGGAGAAATGACCCACCTGTCTGAGGAAGCTGCCTCTGCTTCCACCTCTTTCTTCTTCTCATTCTCCTCCTGTCAGGAAAAGATCCCATCAGTTTAAAAGGGCAGAGTTCAGAACCTAAAGGTGACGAGGGTGTGCTGCGAGGCTGATCCGCCCACTGACCCGCAGCGACTCCTGGAAGGACGAGGCCTGGTACTGGGCGTACTTCAAGATGGTGGTGTGGGAGCGGCTGCTCTCGCAGCGCCACATCTTCCTGCTCCCGCTCGGGTCCCAGTTCTCGTCGGTGGGCTGAGCCAGCTGGGTCCGCACCTCCACCAGGTGCTCGGGGTTGGCCTCCACCAGCGTCTTTGTGGAGAACAGGCCCAGGTCTGCAAGTGGGAGAACACAAAAGATTGAGAAAAGCTTGTTAAAGGAAACAACATCATGCCAGCACTCCATCCCCGCTTTTATTTGTAACACCGTAATGACAATCATGTGCTCACGTTTATGTTAAGCTGTCACATAAAATCACAAGATTTTATGTGACAGCTTAAAATCTGTAAGAAAATGTAACTAATACCAAAGTGTGTGTCTGTAATATGACAGAAAGTGAAAAAAAGGAATAAAAATGTTAAAACAAGCAGGACTGAGAAGTGTGAACTAATATAATCCTCCAGCAGATGGTGCTGCTGTTGCACATGTCAAAGCCACCAATAGAGAAAAACCCCAGTTAGCCCTGGCACAGGGTTTCCCACAGTGAAATTCAAGCTTTTTCAAGGCTAGTCAGCAAATTTTTACAGAACAAAAAATGAAAATAAAACTGAACTAAAAAAGTTTAGTTAACAATGCCTTGTGATATTATTCAACATAGCAGACACAAAGTAATATGAAGTATTACAAAATTTTATATTTTGAAATCTTTCATGGATACACCCTTGAATCCATGAAAGATAACAAAACACTAACTTAACAAAAGAAAATCCCACAAAAGCATACATAAGACAATCTGTTGAGCCATTAGGAATAATTGATATTCGTTACATTTCAAATTGTGTTTTAGGTACAAAGTAACTTGCACAGAAAAGTTTTTAAAACACTCTCACTAAGCTTTCTGGGATTTAAAAAATGGAATCAATTTTGGTGATTCTGACTAACCAACAACAAGAGTCATTTAGTCTGATTTCACTTCAGAAGTGAGAAAAAAAATTATTTGAAAAGACAAGCTTGCATTATTCTACATTGTCAATATAATACTAGAAAATGGTCTGAAAGCAACAATATTATTGTTTATTGCGATAAATCGTGAGACAATTTTTCATCCGGTAAAAGTATGCAATCGTGACAGACCTTTCACGTTTCAACTCCAAATAACATTTTCCAAATTTAGGCTTTTATCAAATGTTAGATTGCACTTTATTACAAAACTGCACAGTATAAATATCAAGCACTTTCAAAGACTTCATGCAGAAAATCAAGCACTTTCCAAACCTTGAACACTGAACTGTGTCTGGTGATGCTGGTGAGTAACAGGAAGGAGTGTCTTACCCAGTTTGAGGGCCCCAGCCAGGCCCCTGATGACGGTTACTGGGTTGGCAGGGCTGGTGCAGAACTGGTGGAGGGGGGGGAAGAAAGCATCCCTCTTGTTCTCCAGCTGTAGAGGCAGAAAGTAGACAGCAGGGGGCGTCAGACTGACCTTTACACTCCACACAGAGACATGAAGAACCCTCCTCCAAGAAGGTAGATGGACGCACGTAAATACTGGGCGTCGGGGGATTGAGCTTGTCCTTTGGCAGTTGGGGTGAGGGTGGACCGGGAGGGCGCGGCGGGGGGCAGCGGTCCAGGAGGATGCTGCTGGTCGACAGGCCGTTCTTCCCCAGGTTCCTGCAGACAGCGGGGAGACGTCAGCGCTAAAAACTCCCGCCGAAAATCACAAAAACACCAGGCAGCAGAGCAAGGCTGCAAATCCAGCTGAAGAACGTGTGTGATGGTGATAAGTGGTGCTGTGAGGATGCAGCACCACTCTGCCACCAGGTGGGGGTGTAGATCATGTTTCCTGTGGGTGTGATTCAGTGGAAGCTGGAGACCTAAATGAAAACACTGACATGGAATAAATGAGGTAGAGGAGAAGATGACGGTTGGAATGTACAACATGTCTGACCGGGATGAGAGTCCAGCATGATGGATGGTTCACACGCACACACACACACACACGTGTGTATATTTCTACCCATATTAGGACTTTACATAGACTCCCATTCTTTTTAACTGCATTCAAGCCAAACCCAGACATTTTTCTTAACCCTCATCATTACTACCATACAACTAATCCTAACCATTAGCAGTCTGTATCCAACCCTTCACATTAGGGCTGAAATAATTAATCGGCTTAATCATAATTAATCGATTATTAAAATGATCATATAATTTAGTAGTCGAGTAAGTATTAGCTGGATTTAACAGACCCAAAAAATTTCCATTTGCAAAAACAAACATTTAGGGGAGTAATTAAGGCAAAACTAAAGAAAAAGTATAACCATTTTACATTAAAGATAATAAAAAAAAAGTCATCATTGCCCTAACTACTACAAGTCTATGTCTTATCCTAACTAAAACTTAATTCACAGGAGCGGAAACGATTAATTGTAATTCATCAATTATTGAAATAGTTGTTAGCTAATTCAGTAATTGTTCATCAACTGGAGATATGCTAAAAAAAAAGGATGCTTGCTTAAAGAAAAAACTCAATTAATTAAGCCAGAATTGTACAAAAAGTATGTGTATTTCAATTTCAATAAAAAAACAAACAAAAAAAAACAAAAAAAAAAAAAAACAACCTCTGCCTGTAAATATGTTTAGCCAAAAAGTGGCATTGTTTTATCGGTTCAGATTTCCTAAAGGAATGCTGTTATTGAATTTTAGGCAACACAATGTTTATTTTGTTATGTAAAGAAAATCTGTTATTTGCATCTTTCAAAGTATTTCTAGTATTCTCTAAAAAAAAAAAAAAAAACAATAAAAAGACAAAAAAAATCTGTCAGATTGCGCTATTCTTTTTCAGATTATTCCCCAGAATAATTCATAAATTAATCAATTATTCTAATAATCGTTAGTTTCAGGCCAGCTCACATCTCAACTCTAAAGCTCACCCTGACCCTAAAAAACGCTGGACCCAAAGTGCAGTCCTAATTCGGTCCACTGCAAGGACTATTGGCCTTCACAAGTTTAGTAAATATGCTAGAAATGATGCCAAGAAGAACAGCTAAACAAGGACACACTCACAAAGAAGTTCATAAAGAGGCGGGGGAGAAAGTCAGACATCTAAATCAACTCCGAGAGCCACAAAAATAAATCCATCCTCATTCCTCAGATCTCTGCTTTTACACCTGAGAGGATTCACGGTTCTGCTAACAAGACCTGAACACAGCGTCTACCGGACCGCAGCTGAAGGCCGTTACGCAACAGCTCACTTCCCACCAGAGAGTGTTGATGCTTTTCCAGGGGAAACACGCAGTGTAGAAATCTGCATCTGATCCCACAGGGCCAAACAACGTTCTGGTCCAAACTTGAGTTCTAACAGAGAACGGCTGAGGTGGTCATCAGACTGACCAATTCTGAACACACAGAACACACAACTAAACATACCTTCTGCTGTCTTGAATGTTAAACTATTTCAAACAAATTGTAATTTTAGAACAAGAAAGAAAAAAACATTTAGGCAGACTAATCAATTTTTCCCACTAGCTAAACATGAATCGATGTAAAATGCTGAAGACAGTTTAAAATGTCATCTTTGAAGCCACATCAAGGTATTTGGTGCTGCTTTATTCCCCATTTACAAAACTGCCTCTGCTGATGGGTAATTCAACCAGCAATCGCTGTTAATCAACCGTCATTCTGTTGGACTTTCAGCTCTGTGGTCACAAAAGTTTGGAAAATCAGCCGACCATCCTTAAATCGTGCCGTGTGAACCAGACCTAAAACTCACAAGCTCTATTACTCTCCGCTCTGGTCGCTTTGGTAACACTTACATATCCCTGAAATAAGATACAGATTCGCCACAAAAACGACAATTTTTATGAAAATTTTAACTCAGGATGACTAATGGGAGCCTGAGCCTGTTTTCCCATCTGGGAGAGATGAGAGACACTGACTGACACCTGAAGTGTTGCTTATGCACAGGGAGCTACTTGGCAGTTTGAATGCATTATTCCCTCATTAACAAATCATTCACCATATCATGCAGAGCAGCTTGGACTTTGGGATTCACCTACTGGGATGAATCCATTCTGCTGTCTCTTCTCTGGGCCTTTTCCCTTCGCAAAGACACTTTCCAAAGAATCTGATCTGTTTCTTACTCATTTTGCTGCTTGTGGGCTCAATGCTGGCGCGCAAGATGTAACAGAGAATCCGGTTAAAGGATTTTCAAAATAAAAGATCCTCCAGACTCAAATAATACTTAAAATGGAAATACATAATTATTGCTTGTGCCAATTTGTCCAAAGCAGTGGTCCCGGGGGCCTGGGGACCACCGCTCTGCTACAACAAAAGACATGCAACTGACATGTCTAAGGCCAACTTACATAATTATAATTCGAGACATTTTAAAGTCTTAATTTTATATAGGCAAAAATATTTTTGAAGGATGCGTGGACAGCTGTCACTGGACACAACAGAAGACACTTGAACTCTGTAAACTGCTGAAAGGAATTATTGTTGACGTTTGAAGGTTAACTCAGAGGTTTCCAGAGCAGAGAGAATGAAAGCAGCTCCTGACCTGCAGGCTTTCAGCACATCACTGGAGCTGGGGTAGATGGAGACCGACGACCATGGCACCAGCCCAGCAGGCGGGGTCTTTCTCTGTGGGCTCCGGGAATCCTCCGGGCCCTTCCCGTTGAGCGTGGGCCCCTGGCTGTTGGAGTTGGACGGGCTGTTTAGGCAGGAGGGGCCGCTGGCGGTGTGGGGGTCCGCCGAGCACGGCGAGGGCGTCGGGGCGACCGACAGCGGGGAGGAAGCCGCCGAGTGCTCCTGCTTGGCGTGGAGAGCTGGGAGGACGTGGTTTATTTTCTCTGAGGAAGACCCTCCGTGATTACTGTCGTCGTGGTTACTGGTAGCGTTGGCTTTTCCCTTTACAAAGGCTGAGAGTTGAGGATTGTCTGAAGTGAGCGTTGCACAAGCAGCCGGCGAGGCGGGCTGCGGCGGGCTGGCGGAGCGCTCCTGCGCCCGCGGCTGGACGTGATTAGTCAATCCTTGCCGGGAGGCGGAGCCAGGGCTGCACGGCGCTCCTCCATGATGCCCGCCGGCCATCTCGAGACCTGGCGGCGGAACGGCGGCGGGGACGGTGCTGCCGGTTTTCTCCCCGGAAGGCGCCACCACCGCCGCGTCTTTGGTGTGGACCCCTGAGGTAGTAGCGGAGTGGGGAGGCGAAGACAAGTGGTTGGGCGTGGTCTGTGGGGAAGTGGGGGACAGGGAGGAGGCTGAGGAGGAGGCAGTGCAGGGCCCGGAGCAGAGTCCAACCTGATTGAGAACGCTGGAGGAGGAGAAGGACGTCTGAGACGGGGAGGAAGAGGAAGAGAAAGGGGGTTCTCCATCCGGACCAGCCGGATGGGAACCTGGACCTTTTTGAAGCCCCTGTTGGGAAAACAAACCAGAATCAGAACCCAGAAAACAGATCCATGTTTATGAGTGAGTAAGATCTATATCTGTCCTGATATTGAAGACAATTCTAAATCAGGTATCAGTGACGATGTGCCCAATCCATTCAGTCTAATTTTATGCTTTCGACTGCTTTCAAGAAGCAGCATTATGTATTTCAGACATATAGTGCCATTTTGTAACACAATCAATTAACTATGTTAGCTTCATCTCTAAAAATGCTACATATGTCAAATATGAATTTAATTTAGCATCTTGAAATTGGGCCTCTGTCTCTTTAAGAAGCTCCTGTTCTTTCTGAACTCCGCCTTCAGGAAGTCATCACAACATGGCTCCTCTATCAACCCTTTAGTAACATTTTCACCAGCACTAAACTAAGAAGTATCTTGTATATCGCCCTCAGCAGATGTGTAGTTGCACCAGGTGTTTTCTAACTGCTGCTGGCTAGTCTGAAGGAGTTGAGTAGGGAGGGCTGCTCTGTGAGGCAGCAGCTTGGAAACTGCAGTGCAAAGATGGAGATATGTTTTTGATGAGGGAATAAAGTCATAACATGATGCTAAGCTCAGAAAAAGAAAAGGTCATTTTTTTGTATAATACAACCTCTTTAAGTCAATTCACTGCTGTTTTTCTGTATTGGATTGAAATCAGCCGATACCGAGCCTCAGATATTGGTATTGGTATCCAAAGTGAAAGAAATGGATCGGTGCAGGAACTGTTCAGTACCTGAGTGGTAGTGTTGCGTGGTTGGCTCCTCCAGGTCTCGTCTGCGTTACTGGGACTGGTGTTAGTGCTGCTGCTGGTGGTGCTGGGCTGACTGGTGGCGGTGCAGGTGTGAGGTAGAGAGTTCTGCTGCGGGTAAGGCACGTTTCCGTTGCTCGCGCCACCACCGCTGCCCAGCCCCGCCCTGACGTTTTTAAGGTCCAAGTGTCCCGGCAGACCCGCCGAAGGACTCGAACAGGAGCCGTTGGCCGTGGGCTGGGGGACCTGAGGGGGTCGACCGGCTGCGTGATTGATGGGCGAGGAGTGGGAGAGTCCCGGGTTGTAAGGGGGGTCCGCTGACGGGCCGTTGGGGAGGCTGGACCGTGGCTGGCCACCTGCTGCTGCAGCCTGCTGCCTCATCTGAAGCACAAAAGAAGAAGAAGACTCCAGCTCTAATGCTAAACCCATTTAGAGGGTTTTTAATGAAAAAGTCAAACTCACCTGCTGCTGATGCTGCTGCATGAGGGAGAATTGGTTCTCCAGCTGCTCCAGCATGTGCTGCCGGGGGGGCGTGAGGCTGGCCCGGTTGCTCCGTAAATGATCCAACAGCTGCAAGTTACACAACACTGTTCAGTGAACTCAGCACAAGATCAGCAGTTTTAACTGGAGAGTAAAAAAAATGGGTTTGCTTGATTGGTTTTCATTTTGTGTAACGTTTTTATGATTTATGTAGACATGTTGCATGTCATTGTTCACATCCGGAGATTTTGCATGTGCTCACAACGCTTGAGGGCATAAAAACGATTCCTGTACTTTCCATCCAGAGCCATGCTGCCAGGGTACAACAATTCCACCAACTAAATGAAACATGAAGATGGAGGTATTATTAATTTAGTCCAGTGCATCACAGCACAGGGAAAATGACGCAGAAGAACTGCTGAACAAATCAAACCCACTCAACCTTTTTCATCGCTCTGTTGGTTATGCTACGCATAGATCTGTTGCCATAGCAACTGACTGACAATGCTCCACGGGTGCATCAGGATTCAACACCAAAAAACAGGCAAACATTTCCCACAAAAGAACAGAACTTTCAGTCCGTTAGAGTTTTGCGTTTTCAGGCTTGATGTTTATTTTCTGTTGATTAATAAATGATTATCTGAACACAGTGATGGCTGATTGGGTCATTTAAACACCTGCTCTACCGGGTGCTGCGGTGGCACAGGGGAAAAGAATGACCCATGTTTTGAGACCATAGTTGCAGGTTCAATTCCTGGCCAGGCGACATTTGCCACATGTCCTCCCCCCACTCCCATTACCCTGTTTCCTGTCAAACTACTTTCAAATAAAGGCCATTAGAGCCAACAAAACCATAAAAAACACACCTGCTCTACTGATAATGTGTGGGTCACCAAATCCCACAGCAAGTCTGCACGTAAGGTTGTCAAAGTCAAGCTAGCATAGCTGACGTATTCCCTCCCTCACAATTGTTTTAAAACTTTTTCCTGACCTTGTTCTCCCGTCGTCGTGTTAACAATAAGTATCAAAGCACTGCGTCCCTTTTTCTTTTACATGTCCTGCTTTAAGATTTAGTGCGTTATGTTGACAACTTGTCAGCTAAAGCTAATGGTAGTCATCATGAGCAAGGGGCTTGTTGCCCTCCAGCAGGGGGCTGGAGGATGGGATCTTGTACGTATGGCATGACGTTGCAATGTCTCTTATTTATTTTTTCTGAGCAGAGGAACAGCTCAGTCATGCTCTTTTGCCACAGAATAATCGACAATTAACTGTAGGAAACACCAGATACGCTAAAATGTTGAGACGTTTGCCTACCTGGATCTTCTGTGGCGTCAAATACCAGCTGGGGATCTGCTGCGGATTCGATCCGTTTGCCAACAAGTCGGCAGCACCCTGAGGATCACACAATAACAAACCTGTGTGAGCTTTGTTTCTCAAACCCTGCCCCTTCAGCTGCAATGACCCTCTCCGCCTGGCTCTCTGCGGTACCTTGACCTGGCTGGCGGTGCGTTTCTTTTTAGCAGGACTGGCCAGCGGGTCGGTGTGGCTGCTGGCGGACGGGCCTCCCTCCCCTTTACAAGCCTGTGGATCCAGCATAGAGACTGCTTCAGAGGACGGACCGCAGAGAGAGAAGAAACAACCTACAAGCTCAAACAGGGTTTAAACTTTTCTCCAGGAACACTGAGAGACAACAGTGTTACAACATCTACATGCACATGGGTTTTAAAACAATTCAATCCCACAAAAATCCGGGACTCGAAAGGGTTGTGGTCAGAAATTAAAGATGAGTTCTTCTGATTTACTGTTTGGTGTTTATAACCTCTCAGTCTCCTGGAAAGTTTTCTACAGTTAAGACGTAATGTGGTTTTAATATTAATGACTTTTAATAACTTTTGCTAAAAATTACAAAGCGCTAACTCAGGTTGTCTCCAGGTTTCAGCAAGTTAAATTTAAGTCTTTTCAGCCATCTTTAATGCCACCTTGGATGAAATTTCAGACAAAAACTCTTAAATATAAAGAATGGTTGGGGAAACTCGCTGCATTACAATCAAGCGAAAACAGAACATGGCTTTGTGTACCCATAATAAAAAAAGACCCGCGAGAACTTTATTTGTTCATTTATTTTTACAAAATTTGAGATCACGGGCGAATGAATTTAAGATATTTTAAGTCCTTAATTTTAGACACAAATATTTAAGACTTTAAAGGATGTGTGAACGCCGTGTTGAATTTTGACATAGAATGACAAGAAAAATACCAGCAATGATTTTAAATCTATTTTTCCTACATTTTTTTTGCGTCATTTTCTATTCTATAGTAGAATTTTTTTTTTGCTAAATTTTGTTTACTTCAACAAAATGTAAATAAAATAGTAATTCTTGAAAAATACATATCTGAGAGTAGATATTTATAAATCATGTTTTTTCTAATTTGTGTCATGAGGGATGGTATATATTGATTAAAACCATGGACCTATACCAGATTCAGCCACTAGGGCTAATTTTTATTTTTAGCCTCCTGGCAGGTTGATGATAAAAATAGTAAACAATTGACATAGAATCTACAATAAAGTTCTAAGTTATAGCTAAAATTATAAGTTGTCATTTTTTCTAAGCATCTTGTGACATTTGCAGCTGTAAACAAGTTTCATTTGGCTGGGCTGAGAGCAGAAATGCCTCGAGGTTGCAGAGGAACAGAATCACAGAACCATTTACATCTGTCACAAAAACAGACAAGCCGGGATGAATGATTGTCACTTTGCTGAAATAAATTCATGCATTCAAACCTTCACATGCAATGTCTTGCAAAAATTGTTATTACTCACATTTTGTCGCTGAACATTAAAACTATGATTTGGATTTTATGAGATAGACCAACACAAAATAGCATAAATCTGAAATGGAAGGAGAATAACTATGGAAAGAAATGCTCTGGTCAGACAGACACCGTGCCTTCTGACCAGCATAAAAAAATAAATAAATAAATAAATAAATAAATAAAAAAAAGATTAAAAAACTGACAGCAGGCATCACCCTGAACGCGTCATCTCAATGCAGGTTTATTTCTGCAACAGTTGTGTTGAATTTCCTCAGTGTTAAATTAAAACTACCAGTAAAACGTCTTTAGATCAGTTTTTTTTTCAGGTTGGAACACATATTTATGCTCCTTGCTCTGTGCGGTGTCCCAGACGGATCGCACTGACTCTGTATATGCTTTTATGAGAGCTTTTTATTTCTTTGAGCTGTTTCAGGTACTCACAGTCTGGCCCCATGGTGTCTCCGTTGTCTGACTATGACAACAGTCTCAGAATCTTAAGAACCACCTTAAGATTGGGTTGTAATGCTTGCAGCCCCCAGATTGCATGGCCTAGTTAAAGTACAAATAACTAGTTCACTTCACACCTATGGCGCTACATGAGTTTTATCTGGCAAGATCGAGAGTAAAAATGTCTCTTTAGGTTGGAATGCTTGCAGACTGATGGTTTCGATTACCCCCCATATTGAGATCCTTTCCAACCAACCTGACAAAGTTTGAGATATTTTCCCCAGAACAAAGATTAGCAATCTAAGCTTCTGTGAAGCATGGACTCAGAGGGTCAATCCCATAAAATCCCAATAAAACAGACATTTTAATGAGACAAAATGCTTTTTGCAAGGCACGCATGTCCAAGCGCCTGAGTTTGCAGAGTGAGTTGCAGTGAGTGGACAAAAATGACAAAATACGTGGGATTGGAATTGCTCTGCATGGAGAGTTAGAGACAATTCTAACGATCTGAGAGGAAGAACGATGAAGGACAATCTGGCGTCTACTGCAAAAAAAAAAAAAAAAAAAAAAAAGAAAACAAAACAAAAAACGGGGCCTCGCTCCGTCTCTTTCTGATTCTCACCTGCTGCGCCTGTGCTGTGTTCAAGGCCCCCTGCCTGGACGTGAGCTCGGCAGGAATGGGAAGGCTCCACGCCTCCTCAATACAAGGAAGCATTTTACTCTTATTCTGCAGACTACTTGGGTGAAGGTTACACAACTGAGCCTAGGAGGAGAAATTGTGTGGAAACAACAAACTTTAGAGCCTGAATTGGAAGTCGAAATACTCCTAAAAGGAAGGAAAAAAAAAAAGTCTTGCTCGCTAATAAAGCGCCTCTACGTGGACATAAAAATAAGAGAAATGATTAATGTCGTGAACGTATGCTTCAAAAGTGACAGAAAAACACATTAATATGAATTATTATTCATATCTATGTGTTCAAAGGCAAAATTAAAAAAAAGCACAATATGCATTTTAAAAGCGGATTGCTTTGGCAATGCTGGGCAGTTATCACAGCACCTGAATGCACAAACACCAAAAAGTACCGTACGACATTAAACACAGCAGGCTGGAGGGGGAGGGGATGAGGGAAATGAGGGCGGCGCTTCCACCTGCAGCAGTTTGATGCGTTGCGCGAGGGCGGCGGTGTTGAGGCACGCTTTGCTGCGCGTGGCGTTGATGTAGCACTTCATGGCGTCTTGCAGCTGGCCACAGGACTCGTACAGCGTGCCCAGGTCCATCCAGGCGGCGGCGTGGCTGTGGTCCAGCTGGACGGCGCAGATGTAGGCCTGCAGGGCGTCCATGGGCTGATTCTGCTGCTGGTACAGCACACTGCAAACAGACAGGGCGGTCCAGAACTTACTTTGTCTAATTGTCTCTTAATCCTCACATGCTGTCACACTGTATATCGGAGTTTGACTAGGCCGTTGAGGGTTCTGACCAGAGCACATGCATTCACATGCTTGCTGTGTTTCCTGTACGCCTTGTGGCATGCTGGAGTTTGTTTAAGGAGCTAAACACAAATACAAGTTAAATTTTTACAAAATTTTCAGTAACATGTAACCCATTTGAACACATTTCTTGAAAAGGACCCACGACAAAGAGAACATGTTGGGGTAAATGTGTCGTAACTTTTAATTTGTTAACCTAAACGCTGCTTTTTTGTGACGCATAAAAACTCGGTTTCTTCAAAAATTGGATGTCTTTATTGCATTTTTCACCTTTGCGATTCATGTCAGTTTGATGACATGGGAGTTGGATCTATAAACAAAATGCAAGAAGTCAAGATTGTGGAGACGGACAAGGACACCCCATAAAATGTCTGGGCCGAGGAAAAGTCCCTCGAGGTTGTCATGTGACTTTAAACATGAGTTATATGTTAAAACAAACAGGAGTGATGAGCTTATAGTCTACTGCTCACCATATCAGAAAGAGTTAGCGTCGTTAGCATGAGCAAGCGGCTTTAATCAAAGAATAAGATAAAGTGGCATTGAAGTATATTACCCTATGGAGCACCAAGTGTCAGCGCTGGCCTCCGACTTATCAATGGACTGGCGGTAGGAGATGAAGGCATCCTGCACCTTCCCGATACTGGAGTAGCACCTGCCCGACAGAAAGCAAAACCAACTCTAAATCATTGCATTTTAGGAAAACATCATATTTCACGACTTATGTCAGTCGGACAGAGATTGCTACAGCAAAAGGCCACCAGTAATGCCAGAGTAGCAAAGTGTTGTAATCTCCATGGTTTAATGTTGAGATGCATCTTAAGAACAGATTTGTTCTAAGACACAGGAATGCCTGATGTTTTAGAGACACAATGTGTCCCGTCACCCAGGGACAGAAAGCTACTCAGTAACAATGACTTTCATTGGTTTTATCTGTCAAGTTGTCCAAGTAACAATCACTAAATAAACATCAAGCCTGACAACATAAAACTGTAACAGACTGGATGCTCTGTTCTTTGTGTTGGAAATCTATGAATATTTTTTGATGTTAAATCTCGATACATGCATGGAAGCTGTTGTCAGTTGGTTGCTATGGTAATGGAGCTGTGTGTAAAAGCATACAAATAGTTTAGAGTTGTTCTTCAATGGTTTTCCTGCATTGTTTTCCCTTTGCTGTGGCGCATTGCAAAAAAATCAATAACACCTCCATCTCCAGGCTTCATTTGTGAATTGTTCGACTGCGGCAGCGCAGCTTTGGTTGGCTTGTAAAAAAAAATAGAGTTTATGCCCTTCAACATTGTCATCACGCGTGACATTTTCCAGATGTAAACAAGTGGAAATACACACTACAGTCACATTGTGACAGAAGCAGATAATGTCAAAAAGCTTTAAGGTGTACCTGCCGAGAAGGTACCAGGACTGGCCGGAGTTGGGGTCTGCTTCTAAAGACTTCTGCAGACACTGGATGGCGTAGCAGCCCTTGGAGTCTTTCTCCCTCAGCTGCTCCACGGTGTGATGCATCCAGCCTAACGAGCAGCAGAGCAGATCAGATCAGCTGTAAGTCTTCTAGAACTACTCTGAGCTCCAGTGGAACCTTGTATGGGGCGGAACGATGAGCCTCGGTCCATACAAAACGTGAGCCGCTGTGGAGACGGCCGACACCGCCAGGGCCCCTGTCCCCTTAAGGAGCTTCAACCGAACAGTGGAGAAGGACAGACAAAGCGAGGCAGGTGGTATTCTTCAAAGGGCTTCATTTGAAGCAGCACACAACACACACACACACACACACACACCCAAGCAGTAGCAAGCTATTTCCAACAAACAAGGTCGGTCTGGGAGACAGACCAAAGCAGTCACAGTCCACTCCGTCTCCCCTCCACATCCTCCTGTACACCTGAAGCATGCTCCAATTGTCACCATGGAAACGCCCAGCAGGCAGTGATTAGCGGTGAGTGGCTGTTGAAACCTTGTTTTGATGCAGTAGCAGAGCAGGAGACGCAGATTGGTTTGATTTGATGTTGTTTTATTAGGAGCAGGGCGATTTATTGGACTAGCTGCAGATTTCAGCAAGTCAATTTAAGACCTTTTTAATACCACCTTTAATAATATTTAAGATGGAATTTTTCTTCCATAAATATAAGGTATAGTTGAGGGATCCTGGTGTATTACAATAAAGCATAAAATAAATTGTGATATTTCTGGGATATTTGTGACTCTTGGCAGTAGCTATGAGCAAACTTAGCTCCCACAATGCCTAGCTTTTTTTTTCGGCAACAGAACTGAGCCAGTGGCAAAAACAAACCTTATCTAGCCAACTGATACTAAATTTGCTCTTAAATGTGGCAGAATTATGTATTTTCCAGCTACATTGTTCCATTTTATAGCACAATCAAGTTGTCATAAAAATGCTGGCTACATCAAAAATGAGGAAGTCACCACATCATCAGTCCTCTATTAAGTCTTTAACAAGATTTTTACAAACATTTCATTGAGAAGTAGCTCACAGCTGTAGAGCCTAGCATATGGCATCTACCCAGACTGCATTGCAATGTAAAGCAATATGGTGACAAAGCTGCAGTATGTAACTGCAATAATGTTTAGTAATTAAAACTGTTACAATTGAAAGACAGTATGAGACATCTATCATTTATCTCCTCCATTTCCTCCCTGAGCCAAGAGGAAATGTTACAACCAATCAGAGCCAAAGGGAGGGTCTTGGCGCCGTCAATCACCCCGGTGTACTAACAGCAGTAACAACTTTCTGTTTATCCTTTACACTGTTTATCTACCATTATCGGTGGCCATGCTAACTTTCCTAGCATTGACAACAGGATATGTTGTGGGGATCCAGCTGCAGCATAGCATAGAGATTTCTACAACTACAAAAAAATACATATTTGTTATAAAAGTTACATACAGCAGCTTTAAACCAAGCACAAAGTCTTTCCTACAGTCTCAGTAACTTCTGTCCTCAAACACAACTGGACCAGTTTTACTAATAAATTTGTCCTCTAAAGACAGTATCTTCTCAAAGACCCAAAACTTTATACACACACACTTTATCATCAAGGCAGAGGGATGGGAAACCAAAACAAACCAGGATAAGTTGCAACACTTTTGCTGCAACTTTGACCCATCAGGGAAAATAACAGACCAGGAGGAGCCACTTACCCAGTTGCTGCAGTGTGGTGGCCTTCACCTGAGCAGGAAGGTTTTCCATCTGCAGCAGACTCTCATAAGCGTCTTTCGCCGCTCTGTGTTTCTTCTGCGGGACAGACAGATTGAGATGCAGAGGCAGTTAGAGGCAGACAGGAGACACAGTGTTTTATGGCCCTATCTGGACACAATGACCTCAGCAGTCCTCACACTGCTAATGACCAGACAGAACCGTTCATTTAGAGGAAGGGGGGCAATAGCACAGGCCAGGCCAGACGCCACGTCTGCCAGACACAGGACAAAAAATAGCAGAAAAAATTAAAAAAGGTAAGGACTAATATGTCATTTTTTTTCCTTAAAAAAAAAAAAAAAAGAATTTAGAAATGATGGAAAATATTTTTCAAACAGTGCCTTTTATTTCAGTGATCCTTTTGTGATATGGATTTTCAGGATCAGGCAACCAAATTTTTTAAATTGTTTAATTTCAAGAACAGTTCAGTGGCGTATTGGGGGCATTGAAAATAGGGTGGGTGGAAACGTAAATCAATTTTCTAAAATCTTCTAGAAAATGTTTTAGTCTTAAAGTAAAAAAAGTTTTCAACTTTCTAAATTTATGAAAATTCTTGAAATTTTCAAGGACAGGAAACAGAATATACAAGTAGTGGAGCCTTGAAAGCCATTTATTTGTCAATATAATGGCTTATTAGGGTCACAGTAGGTAGAAAATAGAGTCCAAGAAACTCAGATTTTGAGGTTAAATTCAGATATTTTTCATAAGAAATAAGTAAATTCTCTGAGCTCAAAAAATCTGATTTGCAAGGGGAGAAAAAAATACATTGTGAATTTAATCCTGGAGTTTTTCTTGAAACAGACATGTGAGTCTTCTGGGATCAATAAGTCAACAATGTTCGACTTTGTAAGCTCAGAAAACTTGCATGTTTTCTCTAGAAAATATGTGGAACTAATTTTGAAATTTCTGAGTTTTTTTCTTGTGAATACTTGACTATCAGCGCTCAGAAAATTTCCACATTTCTTTTCTAATAAGTTCCTGAGATGAACCTCAAAATTTTTGTTTTTTTCTCACTTATTTACAACTTGAGCACAAACAACTTCCTTATTTTCTCTAGAAAATATTTTAAATTCATCTTAAAATTTCTCATTTTTTATCTCACAAATTTGCAACTTTTTGAGCTCAGAAATTTACCTGAAAATTTCTCTGTTCCCATTTCTATCTACAGTGGCTCTAATACACTGTCACCAACACAGGAGGGAATCATTTCAAATGTGATCTGCTTACCTGGATTTCATACAAATGGGCGATGTGGAACTGAACTGGAAGAGAGAAAAAGAAGAAGAAATTAACCATGACGACAATCTGGGAGATTTCCCATCCACCCTGAGGACCGCCATTAAAACAGACTGCCAGCAGTATGGAGCGCAGATGGGCGGGGGAAGTTTAACACTCTCCAGTGTAATCATGTAATCTGAAATCACAGCGTGCATGTGTGATGTGTTGGGAAGTCTTTTCAGCTCCTTCCTCGTGCCGTCTCCTAGGCAACCTGCGTCTTAGTTCAAGTGCGGTCGGCAGGGAAACGGCGAGGTTGGAGTCTAACTAGTTAAAGCTCCATCCTGCAGCGCCGCACTGCTTCAGCTTCTAGCTACGACTTACTTTCAGCTTTGGACAAAGTGCAGAGATTAGAGTCGATCAATGCCAGCTGGAAATGCTGCGGAGACAAAAGGAGAAAACGGTTTTTGCTTTTTTCTATGGAAACAGGATCTCAAGTCTGTGTGATTTGTGACATAAAAACAGTGTGTGAGCCAATATCTGATGGAAATATGAGCACTCCTTGGAGCTGAAGTCTCCTCACAAAGCCCTGCCGCTCCATTCGGTTCCTTCAAACTAGTCAACAACAACTAGCAAACACCTGGTGAAACTGAGCATCAGCTAAGCTCATCATCTGACAGACTTCTCAGTGCAACACTCCTAAGAATATTGTTGTGATGACTTCCTGAAGGCGCAGTGTCAGAAAAAGCAAACACATCTTAAAGAAACAGAGGTCCAATTTCAAAGTCAAAATGTTGTTTTTAGCCATGTTTGATATACAGTACGTTTTCACAACAGTTGAAGGTAGCAGACTGTTTCGTAAACAGAGCGCTGCTGTGTGACCTCAACATTCTTCCTTTGGGGTCAGAAATCATTCATACAGAAGTTTCTGCAGTCGGGTTTAAATTATAGTAAGAAGGACCACGCAAACAAAACTGAATTTTAATCGACAAAAATAAATAAATAAAAATCAGAATTTGACATCAAGTTATCTGATAGTGCCATGAAATGCCCCTTTAATATGTCTTATGTCTGAGGCAGTCAGCTTCACTATCCTAGCTGCCACATCACAGAAAGACACGGAGCGGTCGTCATTTATTTCATCTCCAGTGGCAACACTCAACAGCATGACCTTGGCAACATGAAAAGACCTTCAAGTCATTCAAGCATTGAGGTGTAGCTGTACTAACAGAGAGCCAGTTCCATCATCAGATTAACAACAGATGTTTCTACATCATTTTAGGAGTGAAAGAAGCAAACCTCTAGATGTGCCAAGAAAATGGTTAGACCTGACCAAATCCATCAGGTTGAACAGTCTCATTCTTAAACAACAGACTATAACTGGTACCAGATGGGGTCAGCAACAACTCCAGTGTGGAAGTTGAAGGACTATGGAAAGGCCACATGTCCATACATAAGGATGTTTGACCCGAAGTGAGTCCAGCAGATAACAGGAAGGCGACAGGTCATCTAGCGGAGTTGATCTGATTGAATCCTTTCAGTTTTCAACCTCTGTCTATCCTGGAAGATTTAGGGTTCATTCACACCAGATCTCTCTAATCCACTTTCATCAAACTCTGGTTTGTTTGGCTAGAAAGTCTGGTTTGTTTTGGGAGATGTGAATGTGCAAACAAACTCTGATGCTCTGATGCAGAACAAAAAAACAAACTCTGGTCTGCCGATAAACATAGGTTTGGTTGAAGTGAACTCTGGCGGCATATGTCAACTCCAACACCAGAAGCAGAAAGCGGACTATAGAGTAGGGTATTCTGGGTAAGTTCAACCAAAACAAACACAAGAAACTTGCTCTAGTGGGGAAATTAAACAAAAAACAAAAGAAATCCAACATCCACTAAAATCCAAAGTACTCCGTTTTTGTTTACATCTAGTGAAGGGGAAAGTTGCACTCAATGTCTTCTTCGGTTGTCGTGTTGTTTCCTTCAGTGGTTCTCGGTGCAGCACCAACACAGGTGAGGAGGATGAACTGGGTTTTTTTTTTAAACCAGTTCATCCTTTAGTTTGTTTTCCACAGTGCAGTGTGAAGGTGAACCACACCAGATGGAAATGGAACTGTTGCAACTTTGGTCCCGCAATCAGATCAAATCCACATTATAATCAGGTGTAAAAACACCTTTAGAAACATTAACTGCCTTTTCCAAATCTCAGTGTAAAATGCATCTTTGTGCTCTGTGAAGGTGAAGCCTGTGGTCGGAACGGACAAGAGTACTTTCACCGTTGATGAAGTTTTATCTCAGATTGACAGTTTTCACAAAAGCCTCTCAGGGCGTGGAAGGTACTGGTTTGATGTACCGTCTACTGACGGGAGGACCAGAAGAATTGGAATAAAAAGGAGAAGAAAAAAAAGTTTTTGCATCCTTGAAACTGAGAAGCTATCTAGATCTTTGTGTTTCCTGACTGGTGCCCCGCTCTGACTGAGAGTCCCTCCTAACGCACACACACAGCGGAGCAACAACAGCTGGGCTTGGCTTACTATTGATAAAAATCAAATGTATAAATCAGGCCTGAAAGGTGAAAATTACATTTTCTAGGAAACGCACACTTTGTAAGGCTGGCTGCAGTAACCATGCAGACGGCATATTTGAAAGCTGATTTTAAAACGCATTTAAGTTGTATATCTTTGTCGCTCCTATTTGCCAGTACATGGCATTACGCGTATATGTTTTGAATAATTCTTAGAATTTTCTTTTATTTAAGAAAAAACCAGGCATCTAAGCTAACCTAATACTGAGAATTTATGCACCAACCCAATTGTGTTTAAATCTAAACTGATTGAAATTGTTATAGACCGTCTTTTCCTCTTATCACTCACAATTTAAACAATTTCCAGACTGAATAGAAAATTTGGTTTCTGAATCACAAACTGTTTGAATCGCATCGCTAGGCTGGAAGATTAGCATCTACTGCATATAAAAGACGCATATAATAGTTAGAAATATGCACTGCTTGATCATTTAATCCGTCTTCTGTAGATTGCTAAAAGCCTGTTTCACATCAACTGCTCTCTAACACAGTGTGACATCACATCTGTGTCTAATGGCAGGTTACCTAGAAATAAAAGAAAATCCTTTTGAAAGCTGGTCTTATGTCTCCTTGCGTTCGTCTTTAAGGAGACATTAAATTGGGTTCAAATCAACCAAAAATTGGAATCCCGTCTCTACATCCGTAGGTGGCTTCAAGGTGACAGGCGGCAGCGTGACCCTGTGCAGGTTCACTCGTTCGGAAAGGAGCCAACAGTATCTGGGTCACGTACTCAGGAATGGAACCCGCTGAAACCACAAACAGCCAGTAGGTACTCCTTTGGCAAATCCGAGGGGATTTCTGACGAGGCGCGCGCCGTTATCTGTCATCCAGGCCGAGGCTAAACAGCTCCTACCCCGGGCTTTGCTACAGTCACAGAAAACGTCAGGCAGATAAAACCTATCCAAATTACGGCATGAACAAATGAAGGGAACCAGCTCACAAAGTGGCGTTTTAAAAATCAAGCATTAGTAGTAAAAATAACAACAACAAAAAAACACAAAAAAAAAAACAAATCCCACATGCCTTAATTTTAGATACTAAAAGGCGTTACCTAGACGGCGGGTCTCCCTCAGACTTCTCTATCCTTCACACTCGCTCTACAGCCGGCCAGATAATGCCGCAGGATTGTCAGCTTGGCATTCCACCTCTCTCCTCACATCTTGCTTTCCTCATTCTCTCCCCCGTCTCTCTGCTGTCTTTCTTTTTATCTGTCTCCCCACCCTTCTTTCCTCCCTCCTCCACCTCCTCTCTCCTGGTGTCACTGATTACCATTCAGCAGACGGCTGCAGAGGAGAGAGCACGAAGATGACACAGAATACCTCAAAGCAGAAACCAGCCCGCACGCACGCGCGCGCGCACACACACACACACACACACACACACACACACACACACACACACACACACACACACACACACACACACACACACACACACACACTTCTCCTCCTTCCTCAGATCTGTTCTCTGCAGCTGCAGGTGGCAACAGCACACAAACTGATGCAGACACGTTTCCCCTGAGCTGACGTAACGAGCGCAGGTGGGATTGACAAGGACAGGTGAGAGGTATGCAACATTTGGTTTCTAATGGGAATGCAATAGGTTCTGTATCAGATCAGGATAGTTCACGCCTTCCCTGCTTTCTCTACCTTTATTGTGTCCCTGTTCCTCTGAAGAGGCGCCTACTCCTCCCTGTAGGTAACTGGGGCAGGCATGTGTGAGATTCTGTTGGTGGGAGTGTGTGGCTGTGAATCGTGTGTGAGCGGCTGGCAGTGACTCAGGACCGAGACGGAGGGCCGCATCCAAAATTAAGGACAAACAGAGCAGCCTGCTCAGTGAAAAACTGTAGCACTAGCTGCAGCCAGAGAGCTTAATCTGGTCTAAATGTCGCTCACTGGGATTTCTCATCACATGAGGGGTACCCCAAGGTTCAATCCTCAGACTCCTCTTATTTAATAACTACATGCTCCCATTAAGATGAGTTACGAGAGATGAACCGATTCGATATTAATATCTGTATAGGTGCATACAGATAATTAGCCCGAGCTGTAACGGCAGATCTAATCTGTCTAATTCTATGCTTCTTACTCTGAGTGACATAGTGCATTGTTTATTTTACATTTAATTTTGAATTCCTAATTATAGTTTCTGAATCATTTGAAAGAAAGTTTGTGACAGTTTAGTTTTTTACATGTTTGACCAAGGTAGTCAAACTATTGCTTTCGCCAGTTTCTTCACTATTTATTTTAAATTGTCCATTCTACTCAATTTGCACGGACTTAAAAAAGAAGATAAGTTGTGTTGTTTTTACATGTTTGATCAAGATTGTGAAGCTATTGGTGCATTTCAGTGTGCTGTACTGGTGTAGAGTTAACAAATATATTTGCAATTCAGTACATTTATGTCTGTGGTAGAGTCAATTTTGCACTTTTTCTGTATCGGATCGGTATTGACCGATACTACACCTCAGATATCGGTATGTGTATTATGAGTGAAAAAGTGTACTGGTGCATCCACATCAGGAAATCTCTCTACATTACAATGCTACCAAGTGACTCCAAACACCTTAAGGGGTAACTGGTTGCTTTTCAAGAAGGCACATTTTTGTGGTAACTTACCTCTAGTCCGGTCTTTTTGGAACTATTTATTTCTTGGGGTTAGGAACCACAAAATTTAAATCTTAGATCAAATAAACCAAGTATTCCTTAACGTGTATTAATAGCCATTAACAGCTCTACTGTAGAAACCAATGTCTACAGTCTTCCTTATTTCTTCTCCTGTGGATACAACCAATTAGAGTTGAGAAAAATCAACAGCCCTCCTGTATTGGCTGCTTTGTAAACACCAGTCAGTAGCGTGTCTAGTTTTGCCGTTTCCCAAGCTTTAGAATATCTTAGATATGGTCTGAGAAATAATATGCATGCAGCAAATTTTTTGTGAATAATGCGAGTCAGGTACCACAGAAGAATCAAAGAATAGAGAACAAATCTGTGAATACTAAACTGGGAATGAAAGTCAACTGAGTAAGAAGGGAAAAAGTACTCTGGGTCATTCTCTTAAAAAAATATAAAAATACACTGTTTTGAACACACAAAGCAATGAAGAGTTTTAGGGGTTCTCCAACAGTTAAATCTGAGAACAGATAAGATTATAAGTCATGTGCAAGACAAGTCTTAAGGGTTTCTGAAACCTTGTTGATGTAAAAGGTCAGATTACATTCAGGAATATTGTTTTTGCACAATCTTGGGTGATTTGGACTTGGATGTCGATGAACAAACAAACTATGACAGAACGTCTGGACCAGAACAAGGCCAGGGATCAGATCGCAATCTGAACGTTTCAGGCTACTACATAGCCAGAACTGTCTGGACAGATTTGGTTCACAGGTGTAAATTTTACTCCTCCGAATAACAGCTTTTGTCAGAAGAACTGGAGACATGGAGTCTATTTCAGGCTTCCAGAACAGACCAATGAACACCGATTCAACACCAACTGTACCGGCCTTTCATATCGAACACAGACGTCTTGTTGAACTTAATGTAATCCATCAGCAGTCAGCCATACTAAACTAGATTTAAGAGAATTAAAATGTAAAAGAACAAATTTTTATGTTTTGATATACAAAGCTAATTTACTTTGTATATCACCTGAACAGCCCAGAACTCATCATTCAGCCTGTCATTCTAATTTACCTTTAAGCTGGACTCGTAGTCTGTGTTAACTTTGAACATGAGCCCCAGTCTCAGATGAATTTCTTTCGCTCGGGAAAACGTTGGGTCGATGTAAAGCACCTCTTGGAACGCCTTAATTGCCCTGGAGAGTAAAGAAAAAATAAATGAAATCACAAGCTGAAAACAAACTCAAGTGTGACTCAGATGATTGTCCTGCTACAGAATTTTAATAGAGACATAAAACTGAGGAAGCCACTTAATATCATCTCTCATTTAGTGATTTCAAGTAACCAAAAGGCTCCTGGATGTCCATGAAGAAAAAAGTCTGAAAAAGTAAAAACTAGAACCTGAGGATGCATTTCAATGATTAGAGCAAAATGGGTTCTAAATCAAATCTTTAGGAATAGTTGGTCTTTATAATAGGACTTCCTTTTTTTTTAACAATAGCGCTGCTCAAACAAGCAGCTTCAGGTAAATATGTTAATTCACAGCACAGAGAAGTTTCTGCATGGGGATTATGGCAACCGTTCCCCCTACATCAGTCCAGTTGTCATGACTTCTCCCTCAAAATAAGAGTGTCATACTTTGAAACAACAGTAGTACACAAAATAAAAAACTTGATATTACGGTCTAAGTTTATTTACTTGTCTTTATTTTGTTATTGTAGTGTTTTTAGTATTATTTTTTTAATTATGTAAAAACTTTTAACTGCCTTGTTGCTGAAATGTGCTAAAGAAAAAAAATTGACTTCATTCAGTTTCATGAATTTCTTTCGCTCGGGAAAACGTCGTGTGGATGTAAACTAAAGCATCTCTTGGAACGCCTTAATTGCCCATCAGATTGTGCTACACCAATCTGCTGTTAGTAGAAAATATCACCACCAGGAGCAGAACATGAGTCACAGAATTGCCTATACCTTGCTTTTATATCTACATATTGCTTGTAATATGCAAGTTAGCTTACATATAGTAAGCTAACTTTACGGAAAACTCTTGCAAGCTATTTTCCATATAAACTAACAGTAACTAGTTGCTAATATTGGTAGAGAAAATTTAGCTAGTTTTCTTTTTAAAACATAAAAAAGCAAGCTAGCTTTACATAAAAAAAAACTAACCATTGTTTTACATAAAGCCAGCTTGCTATATGTAAAGAAAGCTAGCCATCTTTTTTTTTTTTACATATATTAGCAGCTAGTAACCAGCAGTCACCACCACCTTGAGTCACAGAATTCAGTGAAGACATCTGTGCAACTCAAAGTTTTGCATTACAGTAAGAAAACTTCAGAAAAAAATTACATAGAATGAGAGTAAATAGTCCTTCCACAACAAAAGTAAAGATTAACATTTGATACCAACATATTGTTTCTCAGTGAATTTGAGATCATTTAAGACCTCAATTTTAGTGAAGATTTCATTAGGATGCACTGACAACATGTACAGACAACCATCAACATACAGTTAGAAAATGTTTATTTGGGAGTCAGTGAGCCCATTAGCATTTTATAAACACAAGATAGCTGCATTTCTGACACCAAGAACATCTTTTTGGGAGAAGAATTGCTCTAATGTCTCAGATGTGAAGAAAAAAAACCTAAAAATGATAACCTTTCTTTTTATCATCTTAATACCAATATTAGAAACTGTTAGTTTGCCATCTCGCTTCAATGCTTCATATCAGAGGCTTGGTTCAGAGAGACGATGAAATATGATGCAGACTAGCACTGAGCTCAGTAATGCATCCTCTCTGAACGGACAATATGTTCCAGCATGAACCTCAGAGATGTGGATCCTTGGTTTAAGAGCATTCGCTTCCTGGAAGATTCAGGAAGGGGCTCTCTGCAAATCAGCAGAGTGCCTTACAGCAAACAGCAACAGCTAATTGTTTTGGCTCATAGCATCAATATGATGCAGAATACCTTCAGTGTTTTCAAAAGCAGAGTAATTTGCTCTGGTTTTGTTCGCACACAATGCTACCAAAACCAGGAAAACTCAAGATGTTCCTTGGACACGATCTAGTGAAATGAAATGATGTGATCATGTTCGCCAACATGATTCCAGCCCTTTTGGTAAAACAGAAGCGATACTACCTGCGGCAACGAGCCGTTTACAACTGAACCCACTTGCTGTGTAACTATAGCAACAATAGCAAATGCATGTCAGCGTGCAGTCCTTTTCCTGTATGAAAAGCACTGTGGTCTCTGCTGAACATGCCACACACACACACACACACACACACACACACTGAACTCAGTGCCCCAGCCCCTCCCCCTCTCAGTTTATGTACTATGTACTCCCTCCCTCCCTCTCTCCACTCACTGTTTGCCCTCTCCCTCCCTCTTTCCCTCCCAGGCTGCGTCCAGTGAAGCTCCTAAGCAGGATAGACTGTACCACACAGCAACATGACAGTATAAAAAAATGAACACACACCACTTCTTACTGTAAAACCTAATCAGCAGCTAAAAGCTACTTTTTAACTAAACACAAAGCTAACTCCCCCATTTGACTCATAGATGCTAGCTGGTGAAAATTAAACCTCCACTTAAACTTTTTAAAACATTCAGGCCAACCAACACACCAACACCCCCAATGAAGCAATATTCCCCACCTGACAGCTCAGCATTCCTTCAGCCTCGGTCTCCATGACGTAGTCTGTCCCCTGGACCCAACGTAATGACAGCCCTCCCCTCCTGCAGCTCTGGCAGACTAAGGCTTCTATTCAGTCTCCAGTTCACGGTGGGCATGTTAGTGGAGTCAAACTGGGTTTCTTTTTATTTTATTTATTCACGGATGTTTAATAAAGCCAATAAATACTGCCGTTAGTACTCTGTGGCCAAGGATACAGGTGACTAACTGCAGTCGCTTGGGTGTCATCAGGGATGTGTACCGGGAGTACTGCATTTTTCTTCACAATTGCCATCGGAGGCTACATTCACACAGCAGGTCTTGACAGCCAATTCCAATATTTTTGCTGGAATCTTTTTTCGCGCAGTTGTTCATGCCGTTAAACCTGACTGGAGTGAGACTTCTGTGTCAATGGGTTACTACCCCAAACTGAAATGGAGAACGTATACGTTTTTCAGCGCGCTATCTGGAGCTGCGAATGGATGGATTTTAAAGTTTTTCAGCAATGGGAGCTGACAGGATCATAACAAGATGAAGGAAGCAAAGAAAAAGAGACCACAACTAATAACGTTAGCGTTTTGTAGAGCATTGACTGTGTAGAGAAGTCTGTTTTGGATGTGTAGTCAGAGTGGTGAGATTTTCATGTCACTGATAGACATCTTTCATAAGTTCATAATTATAATTTTCAGCCATTATTTTATGTCTGGATTTACAGCTTTCTGCTTTTTCTAGGGCAGAATTATGACACATGTATCACATCGATGGGATAAAAGTTGCTT